ACTCTATTTCTTCCTATATACTGTTTACTCAATGTCTAGGGACAGATTTAGCTTGCTAACAGTATTTTAAAGAATAACATTTGGTGCTTAATCCACGTGGAATCGGTCTCACTCGCCTCATACACATCTCATCCAATGGCAAAGTAAATTTCCAAACCAGACTGACTGATAATTGTGAAGTCGACCGCAATGGCAGGAACGGTCTAGACCCATCAATTGATGGGTCCAGGTTCAGGATTAGCCTTGTTTGGTGCCTTCCCAATGCGACAATTCCCCGAAATGAACAACCCAAGAACGCTAGTTAGATGTTTGTTTCGTGGCTGTGTGTATGGCGATCAACACATGTGTGACACAATCCTATACTGGACAATCCATCATAATAGAACATTAGCGCATTCCTTAGTAATTACCTAGACGCGATGCAGTGATTGCCAACTGGTGCGGTGACTCGGTCCTGTTCAGGGCTGAGACTCATGCTGCAATGGTTACTTTTTAATGTGCACTCTCGTCTGCATATACACACATGCTGTATTAATATCCAAACTGTTAGATGTTGCCAAAAGCTAGGATTTTTGCCGTCCCAGATGCTTTGTTTCAATCCTCCAAGGTGAAGAAGGACGCAAGAAAATAGATTCTTTGTTGCGTACGTGGTACAGGATATTTAAGCGGGTAAGCTTTACAAGATTAGGCGAATCAGATTGTGTCCTCGAGCGCGTAACGACTAAATTGACTTCCGCATTCATCCGGCTGGCATATTAGAGCCCTAAGCCTTGCCGCAGCTGTGCGCTGCATCACCACATGTGAGCGGACCAATAGCATGGCGTGAGAGCGTCTCACCAGACCTTCATGCGCACAAGTCTGTTACGACGGCTCCTAACACAAACGGTGATATCGTTCGTGGTTTTGGTTGGACGAGTCGTTTATCAATTTGGGAAGCCAATACCCAAGCGCCCCGGTGTTCACCTAGGCAGTCCGCCGCTCAGCTATCAAGTTGTCTGCAACGAACTTCCACCTGTGATGCGTCGATAAATGAAAACCTCTTGGCCATCTAGACCCCAGTGTTTTCTTTTCTATAGCCTTATATGAACGTGAACTGTTTTTTTTGTTAAATGGGACAGATTATTCCTGCCTCACTTTTGCCATCTCCATCCCACCTGCTCCTTTCACTCTGATTTTAGGCACTTTCGAAAACTCTGTAATCTTCTGATGGATGTTGAGGAGTGGGGTCAAGTTGTCATTCTCGGCATGCTCACCCGTTATGCCCGCATGCAGTTCCCCAATCCAGCCGCCAAGTCGGTAAGTAGTCTCCCTTAGAGCTTCCTTACACGTTATTTCCTTAGTAAGTGCAGTCCTCTCTGTGTGGTAGCATTTAGATGCATGCAAAATGCATGCTATTACGGCATCGGGCGTATTTACTACCCAGCAAAATCGGCTTTGTTAGGTCCGAAGATATAGCACGCCCATGCCACCCACAGCCACTATACCTGCTCTCTCAGCTCCAGTTATTTTGGCACAATCTTTCAATTGGAAGGGAGAGACAGAGCCGGAGATCCTACAAGATATCCCCTCACCTACGTTCGCGTTTTTCTTTAAATAATCAGGACGCCCTAAAATGTCGTGGCTCGAAGAGTTGTCAGCCATTTGCTGTCGACGCACCTGCGCAGGGTTTATTGCAGAGCTTTGAGGAGTAGTGGGATGTCTTTGCTTCACCCGGTTGTCAATCTGCTGAGAACCACTCAAAGATAATATCGATGGCGGTACTTTCCTTTGACTTGAGGGTATTGTTGTTACTTCACTTCATTCAGTCCTGTCCAGACCGACGGATTGAATGATCATTGACCTCCTGTCTCTGTATAACGACATTTCCGATCATTTGCTCATATATATCCGTTTCATGTCTTCTGCTTGCAGGCTGAGGACAGTCGTGCAGCCAAGGAAACCTCTCCTGCTGCAGCTGGTCCCAGCACAAACCAGCCTGCGGCTCAAAAGGGCCTGTCTTATGTGCCAGGCAAGTTAAAAATACGCGAAATGAAGAAAGAGGAGGAAATTGACGCGGAAGAGGAAGATGAGGAAGAAGAGAAGGAGGAAGAAGACGATGAAGAAGAAAAAGAGGAAGAGGAGGAGAGTGAAGACCTGAAGACAGAGTCTAGCGAGGAAGAGGAGGCGGAGGAAGATGAACGGGAGCCCTCGCCCACCGGTGGCATGTCCCCGGCTGAAATCCATGCCCTTACCATTCTACATGCCGACTACCGTCTCCTCATCTCCTCTTGTCGATTACTGCTACTCAACCGAAATGCTGCAGTAAGTGTCTCCTGCATCTCTTAAACTTTACAGAATCTGCATGCTGGACTTGGCAGCTTTGTGCAGGGTTGTTTATCGTTGGTAGGAAATTTCACTCACTCACTCACCCATCCCCCCCCCCTCCGCAATGATCCTCCAGTTAATCCTCATTCGACTAGGCTGGGTCTGTATAAGATGATGATTACGTTTGTTATTGAAGCTTAAAGCTACCACGGTGCGCTAAAAGCCGTGGCTGAGTAAACCAAGAGAAAACAAAAGACTGGTAATCCGTTGCGCTGAATCAGCAGACATTGCAATTTGCCGTAATCTACGTAGCGGTAACCTTCAAAGCCGCTAGCATGTAAAGGACCAAGGCAAACCGGCAGGCGTACAAACCTGGACCAACGTGGTCAATGCTCAACGCCCACCACTGTGGCCGCACTGGCCATGCGCTTTCTAGTCTCTTGACTTTGACCATGTTGCAACCAGCCCATCCTGCCTTAGGCGACCGATCAGCTAAGCAGTGGCCTGTTGCTGGCGGTGGAGAAGAGTTTGAGGTCGACCCTCAGCGCATTTATTTCCTCACTTTAATCAAGCTGATGCGCTTGAAGCTATCACGGTGCGCTAAAAGTCGTGCCAACCAAAGGGATAACTTAGACACCGCAGTCGGCCCGGTGTGTGCTTTGTTGTGTGAAGTGAATTACTGGCGGGCTGAGATTCAGGCTGCAATGTGGCCTCTATGGCACTTTCACGTAAGCAAGAGCATACCTAGCAAGGTGTGCTGTTGGTGTGCGTTTTGGGGTGTTAGGCGCGCCAGCCACCTGCCTCCCTCCCCCTTCCCCCATCTCCGGCATTCTCGACTATTGTCTTGACATCGGATACAGGTGTGGGAGTGGTGAGAGAGTGGGGTAGATT